TGCTTTGCAGGCAGATTTTTTACCAGCTGAGCTACCAGGGAAGCTGACATTTAATTGTTCCAAATATAATGAGGCACTGCCTGCCTAAAATGCCTCTTTCAGGTCAGATGGTCTTCACTTCAATATGTCTGCCCCTCACCAGGGTCGGTGTGTCTCTTGTGGCCAGGGTTCCCCAGGGAAGGTGTGGTCCAGGAAGGCTTCCCCGAGGAGGTGGCATTTAGGCTAAGATCTGGAGGGAGAAGAGGTAAGAGCCACGCAAGATGGGGGGGTAGTGGGCAGTAGGGGCAGCAGTGGAGGTGGCTAGGACGAGCTGGAGAGAATAATGGAAGCACATGCGGCCTTGTCTGAAGACTGGAGCGAGAGAACTGCAGGTGGGCAAGGGGCAGTCACCATGGAGCAGGCCCTCTGCTCTTCAACTCCCTCTTCATTTTTCTACCACCATTGCCTCACTACAGCTGACAGCCGAACACATTTTCTGTACCTTGCCTGCCTCTGCACCAGGCGTTTCATATGCATGATCCCGTTTCAGCCAACAGCCCTATGAGGACAGGGTACAAGGATCTGTGTCCATTTTACAGATGAGGAAGCTGAGGCACAGGAAGTCAGAGTCACATGGCTAGTAAGGACAGAAGCAGGATGCAACACTCAATGTCTGCAGATCTTTGGATGGAAAACCGTTTTCCCAGTCCACACTGCCCTGGGCCTTCCAGACAACACTGTTTCAGTTCCATGAAACTTGAAGAAATCCAGCTGGGAGTGCCTGGCGGCCCTGGGGTGATTCTGGAGCCCAAGGAAGGAATCCGAGGCCTAGGCAACTGCAGGAGTGAGGTGAGGGCAGTGGGGTCAGGGCCACTGGGGCCGGGAATATGGGAGGGGTAGAGGCTGGTGACATGGAGCACGGGGACTCTGGGAGCAATGAGGGGCCACTGCAGCATTAAAATAAGTCTCTCTGAGGCCAGGCTTGGGGTCCAATGGGGCACACCACATCTCACTCCTTGTGGCTCTGAGTGGATGGTCCACAGATTGGTCCTTTCCTCGTGAAAAACATGTCAGCATCCCAGCTGCTTCCTCCAGGAGGCAGAGAGTGGAGCTGATGGGTCACAAAGGCAAGGAAGGTGTCCGCACAGAGCACATCACTCTGGGGTTCTAAACGCTTCTTTTCCCCTGAAAGCTGCTGGGGTGTGGGGACTGGAGGCGTGGGAGTGGGAGCAACAGCAGCCCTTAACACCAGCCGACTTTTAACATCTATTCCCTGTCTTGGAATTTTTCAGACTTCCAGCCACGAGGAATTGTTTCCTTAATCATATTCAACTTCCGGCATCCTGTCGGATGATGCTGAGCTTGGCAAGATGACAAACCGTGCCTACGTCTGCATGTGGACGTGTATGTCTGCGTATGTTTACACACATGCTGACTTCCCCTCTCCTCCGCTTCCTCACTGAACAGGACATAAAAGGACCACGGAGCCAGAGCTCAAATCCCTCCTGAGCGGAGGGAAATCCGGGTGCCATGGTTTCCAGAAAGGGAACACCATCTCCGTATGGGGTGTAATTACATCTTAGCTTTCTGCAGAAGAATAGTTTATGGCTTAAATGCTATTAATTGTAAGCCGTTTTGTTCCACGGGAAGTTGTTCATTGATAACTACCCAATTAGGGTTATTTTGCAATTAGTCTATTCACAGTAAATTTATTGCAAAAGGGGGAGGCTGTGGTGCAGTGAATGAACGCCCCGTTGGGGCTGGGTATGCCAAGGCCCTTACACGCCAATCTTATCAGCCAGCTCCCAGGCCCCCGAAGGGTATGACACCTTGGCCGACCCAGCTGAGACCACGGGGGATCCCTATGCTGCATAGCCTCACTGGGGTGTCTCAGAGGGACCCCGATAGGTGTGGGGACCCCTTCCTCCACTAGCCACAACAGCCCTTTTGCTCCCTACAAACGTCCAGGGAGGAGGTCCTTCTCCTCCAATTGCAGACGGTGGAGAGAGACAGCCAGCAGGTTCTGGACATCCCCGAGGCCTGAGAATTTGGACTAAAGTGAAACTGCCTGCCTCCTGAGGAGGGGAAGGATCTGGGGTGCATGCAGGCTCCAGAGCCTGAGAGCTAAGGGCAGCCCCGCCGCCTGCTAGTTATGCACCTCTGGCCACGGACTAAACCTCTTTGAGCCTCCATTTCCTCGTCCATTAAATGGGTTGATAAAGAGACCGACCTCACAGGGCTGGTATGAGGATTCAGTGGGGTGGAAGGCAAGTGTTGCAGGTACCACTACATGGACTTGGTACCTAGCAGGGATCAGAAAACTATGGCCCCATGGGCCACGTCCTACCCACCGCCTGCTTTCGTAAATTGAGTTTTTTCGGAATAACCAAGTGCACTTGTGTATGTATCATCCCGGCTGCTTGTGTGATACAACAGCGGAGTTGAGGCGTTGTGACGGAGACTGCAAGGCCCACGAAGCCTCAAATATTTACTCGCTGGCCCTTTATAGAAAAACTGTGACAACCCTTGGTACCCAGAGAGTGCCCCCTGCTACTCTCAAGGAAAGACTTGCAGCTCAGGCCTCTGCCAGGCCATGAGCTAGTTAAAGGAAAGATTTTGGAAACAGCTCTGCTTATTAATTTAAATATCTGTACCTCTATCTGCTGAGTCAACAACATAACGGGAACCCTGGGACCACTTAGACAAGAGTCCCTATGCAAGGGAGACATGAACCTTTTCTTTTTAAACCTTTCTATTGGAAAGAGAGTAGAGATACACATTTCCAACTGAACACTTTAAAGTACAGATGAATTTGAGGTAAGGGCTGAAGCGGTCCCCACTGCACCCTGCCCAGAGGGGACCCCATGAAGGGTTTGCCATGGACCCTTCCAGGCCTCTATACCCACACACCCACGTGGCCACCCCTGACCTGATCCATACCCTCCATCCAGTGATTGGGGATCAACAGAGAAGCACGTGTGAGAGATAAGGTGCTGAATTTCAGCTCAAGTTCAGCCTCTAACTGATTGGGTGACCTTGACCATAAGTCCCCTCCTCTCTGGGCCTCATTTCTTATCTGTCCACTGGAGAGACAGAATCAGGATTTCTCTAGAAGTGACCCAGTCCCCCTTTCCTTGGGAGCTGTTCTCACCTCACACCTTCTTCTGCCTCAAGAGGGATGTGGGATTGATGAGACATCGGGCACCTTCTTGCCTGGCCTCCAAATCCTCCGACGCTGTGGGAACTGAGAGCCCTCTGCTCCCACCCTGCCACCCAGCCCAGCTCTGCAGTTGGCCTTCCTGATGCTCTGACCTTCTATCTGGACACTAAGATGGACCCAACACCCCGTGGGCCCACTCCTCTTCCGCTCATGGACCCCTGCCCCACCCAGGTCTTGTGTGTATCCCCTACACAATGAGCATTCATTGGTATTTGAATTTAGAAGCAACAAGGTGGTATTAATATTTGGAACCCTTGGCCACTTAGTGAGGGACTGCGGGGTACCCCTGGCATTGACTGTGGCCGATAAGAATGAGAGATGACCAAGAGCAAATTGCGAATGGACCCCAAGGGAGGTCTGAGTGGGAAGACCCTTCAAGTATTTAATGCAGGGTGCTCCCTGAACAGATAAGGAAGCTGGAACCAGACAGCGGAAGGCAATTTCCCTTCCGCTGGTGAGTTCCCGGTAAAATTTGAACTAGAACACACTGCCCTCCATTTCAAATGCATCACACTGTTTGCTCCCAGTGATATCAGCTCTCTCTTCTTTTTAGAGAAGTCTTTAGGATGCTATCTGCCATGTGCATGGAGAAAGCCATGGGGTGGACTAACTCACAAACTATTTGGGATGTAAGGTCTTCTACAAGAAAAAGAGTTATCTGCTGGCCTGCAAATGAGTTTGTGTGTGTGGCCGCGGGAGGCGGGGTGGGCGTGTGGACGTGGATGAAAGAGCACTGACCCCCACGAGTTACCTGTAGCAGGACGGTGGGAACATGAAGGGTCTCCCGTCTCCAAGGTAGGTTTGAAATTTTCTGCCATAACATGTTTCTTTTTTTTTTTTTGATCTTGAGAAAATATGACCTCACCCAGGATGGTGGTATCTCTATCTCAGGATGTCTCTACCTGCAGGCTTGTGAGGCCTCCTACAAGCCATAAGACCAGAGGGAAGTTATTTTATGTCACTCAAATGAAAAATGATATGCTCCTGACGACAGTGCCAACCTCACTGGGCTGCAGATGAGACGAGCTGATTGAATGCAAACTGCCTGTGCCATGCCAGGACACAGCGAGTGCTCAGTACCTGTTATTACTTCCCTTCTGCAGGCACTGGAAAAGGTGAAATGTACATGTGTGCAGCAAGGAACACGTGTCAGTGGTGAGAGGCGAGATGCAGAGATGCACACATTGTAATACTTCACCTATGCAGAGCCTTTCCCCCATGCCCCCAGTTTCTGAGGACCCTCCCGAACGTCACTCTTAGAGCTCTGACCTCATACCACATGCCAGCGAGAGGTCTGATTTATCACTGGTCATCAGCATGGAGAAGGGGGCCCAGTGTGGGGCAGGAGGGAGGCTGCTGGGGGGTGGAGGGGTGGAAGGGGGAAGGAAATAAGGAAGGAAGAAACTGTAGATGGAGGAAAATGAGAAAGATGTTTTTTCAGAGCCACCAGTGTCAATGCAACCAATAGATCCTTTCAGATCCTATTCAATTACAGTAATATTCATGTCAATTTTAATCCCCATATTCTGCTGAGAAAGAAAACAATCCATATCAATACTATCACCCACCTACACCTTCCACATTAGCCCTGACTGCGTTGTATTTTATCCTTTGTCACAAAGGCAACTGGTTAAGGCTGCAACAAAAGGTAATTTGATTTGGGGGAACTTCCCATGCAAGATTTTGGAATTCACAGGAAGGTCCAAAACAAATGATCTCGCGTCTTGATTTGGGGTTTGAAAAATAGGGCAGTCGCTGGGAGAAGGTCTGAGGATGTGAGCAGAGCGGGGCTGGGACTTACCTTCGAGGGGGCAGAACCGAGTCACCTTCTCGGGCATCAGCAGCCCGAGCTTGTGGCGGCAGTAGGTCTCCCCGATCTCCTGGCGGCAGTGCTTGGATTTGGAGCGGGACAGCGCGGAGATGGCCTCCTTGCCCGAGATGTCACACCTGAGGGGCTGGTCAGGCTTGGCCTCGGGGGAACTGCCCCCGCTCTTGCGGCTGTGGGGCAGTCGGGGGGCGTCCTTGCTGCGGCTGCCGTTCACCGCGACCCTCTCGCCGGGAGGCAGCACCCCGTTGGGACTTTTCCCCGGGGACGGACGCCCCCTCCCTTTCTCCTCCTGCTCCCGCTTCCTCTTCAGAAGCTCCTTCTGTCCTCTCGGGGGCTTCTTCGTCAGCTCGGGCTGGTGCTTCTGCTTTTGAACTCTGGGTGCAAAGTTGCTGTTGTCCACGTTCTCAAAATCCTTGGGCACCGAGTTCTCATTGTTACTGTCTGTTCGCACTTTCTCTTTTGGCCGGTGGGAGAAGTAGCCATCCTGAAGAAGACAGGGACAAAACACAGAAGAGAATCTTGACTGAGCCATCAAGCTAAGCAGGCGGGCCCTAGAGAATGGGGCACGTGGGTTTGGAGGCTGGAGCCCTGGGGTCACACGCCCTGCCTTTGCTATGAGCTTCACCTTAGACTTCCTGTTAGATCTTTCTCTTGAACTCAATTTCTCAACTTGGAAATACAAGACGTTCCAACTAGAAAATAAAACTTCTGTGATCTCCAATGTGCTTGGACTATGATCCTCAATGCTTGTTATTAAACACACTCTCTTTTCATGGAAGTCTCCTTCGAATGTTTCTGCCACTGGAATCTAGAGTTTGTTTTGGGCTTCCTGTTTAAATTCCAGCAGAGAGCGCTGTGATGGTTAATGGCTAGCAAAGCCATAATAAAGCTATAAGGGGAGAAAACATTGCTAGGCTAGTATTTACTTTCCATTGCCTTTAAGACATGCTCCTAGATCTATGCCCATAAGAGAAATGAGATCATGCCATAGTTAATTCTGGAGGGGAGACATCACCAGCTATCTCGATGGGAATGTGTCCTTTATAGGGCAATCCTTACAATGAATCTAAGACTTGGTGACAGTCTTGTGTTTGAGCTTTGACTCTTGGACTCTTGGATAATCAAAGCTCCAGATAGCTTTGACTGTCTGGAGCAGGACTGATTAAGTCACCCGGGAGGGGGTGGGTCAAGAGAAAAGGCAACAGTCATTCTTGAGACAACGAGTCTTTCCAGGAAGAGGGGCACCTGGAACTCAGCTTCTCCACAGTATGTGGGCCATGGCCATTTTGAGCTTGGATCAAATAAACTGGTCAACTAACGTCCTGCATCATTTCCAAAACACAGTGCTTCTGTTTAGAGCCCATTACTAAGGCCTTAACCTGAAAGAGAATCCACTGGGCCAAAGCTAGTCAGAGGGGACACAGAGGCCACGGAGAATTGAGGCTAATTGACTCTTTAAATCCACTGCTGTAGAAACACACTGGCAATGAGTAGCAATCCCGAGGGCAGACATCCTCGTTCATTTTCCTAAACGTGACCATTAAAGGTTCTCAAGGAAGGCTCTGGAGGCAGAGCGTGGAGGCAGTGCTGGCGCCCAGGAGGGGCTGATGTGCAGCTGACATTGAGCATGGCTCCTCCTTCAGCGGTCCTGCAAGCTACTACCTGCCCTGAGCCAAATCCTCCGTGCCATTTGTTTTTGTAAATAAAGTTTCATTGAAACACAGCCATGCCTATTCATTTATGGATGTCTATGGTCATTTTCCTGCTACAACAGCAGAGGTGAGTGGTTGCCATAGGGACTGTCTATCTGGCCTGCAAAGCTTAAAATACTTCTATCTGTCCCTTTAAGAAACACTGTGCAGACCCCAGTTCTCCAGGACTGTGAGTTTAGAAGGTTCCCATTCCCTGAGCTTGGCTTGCTTGCCCTTGTCTCCAATGTCCCCATTTAGTCCAGAAATGTGTCTGCCCACTTCTTACCTTTGTTTCATCTCCCCTAGCATCAAGTACCAATTTCAAGAGTCCATAGGAATGAAAGCAACACTAAGATACCTCGTGGCCATTCTGTAAGTTGATGTTACTTTTATTCTCACTTCGCAGGTACTGGCATCAGTGACCCATCAAGGTAACCCAGGCGGTTGGTTGTGAAGCTGGGATTCAAACCAGATAGGCCGCTGACCTCTGCCGTGGGCCATCAGATCCACCAGCCACTTCTAGGGAGCTGCAGAGCCCTTCTTATCCCCCTCACTCTGTCCCCTTAAGCACGGCAGCCTGACTCCCCTCCCATCCACTGTCACCCAGCTAAACGGATCTGGGACAGGCTTGTCATCTCCAACGAGCCATCTCTAGGCTGGCCAGGGGTCATCAGGTGTCAGGAAGTCACAGAAGAGGGAGACAACAGTAAGGAGGGGCCACATGGCACCAGGGTGGCAGCGGCCGGAGGCAATGGACAGGAAGACTGAACAGAGGAGACGCCAAGAGAGAGTGCAGTCTGTGTTCCGTCACAGAGAAGCTGCTGGTCATCAGTGGGAGCCGACATTACATGCTGGTCCATAAAGGGGAACTTCCAGTTCTAACACCTATTTCCGGCTTTTCTTAACTCCCACATGCATCTTGTAAGAAATCCCCCTCAAGTGGGGGCCATGCCTCTGTCGTTGAAACCTAAACAAACTTCACTGCTATTCCTCTTTCCCTTCTTTCTGTTCAGAGAACCTTGAAGAATCCCAAGCAGCCTCTCAGCTGAATTCTCTGAGCTGTCCCTGTGAGCCAGTCACCATATGCCACTGATTCACAGGTATTACCTACTGCATGCTGAAAATCACCCCCTAACGGGTACCCCCTCACTATTTTATAGAAAAAGGAGCCAAGGCTTGCTTGTTGCTTTCACCCACTTGAGCATGTTATCAGGTGCCAAGCACTGTGCTAAGCCCACCCATGTGATAAATTATTTAACCTTCAGAAGTAAATCCTGAAGTAACAGAGGCAGATGCTACCATTCTCGCATCTTACAAGAGAGGGGAAAAAAGCTTGGGGATGTTCAGTGATTTGTCTGACGTCACTTAGGGAAGACTGTGAATTTGCACCTGTATAATTCTAAAACTTGTTTTGTGCCTCTTCTGTTCAGCTGAAAGGTCAAGGGTGGAGCATTTAGTGTCCCCTTCTCTGTGACAGAGTGGGTGGGGTCTTTGCACACTTAAGCCTAGGTTGGAACGGACTGGATGGGGGGGATGGTATTCAGTAAAGCTCTTGACAAAGATTCCAGTTCTCTTCCTTCTAGGCACCTGATACAATTGCACTTCCCATCCCCTAAAGGAGGCACAGCCAAGCAACTTGCTGTGGCCAAGACAAGTGACTGAGGCCAGGCACATTTTGCCATGTCCCTTCTTCCCTGGCATCATCCAGCCACGCTCCTTATGGTGAAGGCCCTGCAACTCCACCAACCCTCCATGGGCAAAATAAACCTCTGCAGATTTCTGTCCCTGAGGTTTGGGGATCTTTGTTACTGCACCACAGTCTAATTCATCCTGATTAATACAGGAGACAACTATCTGCTTTCTTCCTCTTAGCTGACCTCAGATACAAGACCCAATTACATATTACTTTTTGCCTCTAACAGCCAAAAGATCAGTTTGATGGCACTTGCTGTCCAAGAACGTGAGTTTAAATTCTGTCCCTAAGCTCATTTTTTTTTTAGAAATTAACAAGAAGGCAGAGAGTGAGCAGAAACCCCCACAGCTACCTGCATCCACTCTCATCAAAAACGTCTTAAGTACAGTTCCTGGGTTATTCTCTTTCCTCATTAACTGACGATCACCAGTTTATCCCCTGAGCAGAAAACCTCCGTAAAAATTTCAAAATTTCAAAAGCTCACACTCTCCACCACTTTCTGGCAGAACTTCTCTAAGCAATACCAGACACAGGAAACATTGCAATCAATGAAGCTAATCTGACCATCAGAAAACGGCTGGTTCCTCTGGTTAATTTGTGACATCAGGACCAGGGGCCAGCATCAGTTCTAAAAGGACTCGAGATTAATAAGGGTTGTCCACTCAGAGACACTCACATAATGGGGACTGTCAGCTCTGCGAGACCCCACGGCCTTCCCCCTGGCCCCAGGTGCTACTCAGCTGTCAAGGGAAACCAAAAGATTTGAAGGTAAGAGGAAAGGGAAATATTTTGTCTTCTTGCACGAAGAGCTCACAGCTGTTCGATAGCTTCCAGAAAAGTCACTGAGGCATAGTCAGTGAGAATCAGGCATCACGCAGGAGCCTAAGATCTTGGTCACACTGAGTCAGGGCTGTTTTGTACAGCAGTTGATGAGTTCTCCAACACCTTCCCCCAACGGTTTTCTTTCTTCTTTTTTGTACACTTTATTTTACTATGGTGAGAACATGTAACATGAGATCTACCCTCTCAGCAAGCACTTTAAGTGTCCCATACAGTCTTGCTACCCACAGTCACAAGTCAGTACAGCAGATCTCTAGAATGTATTCATCCTACACCACCAAGACTTCATGCCCGTTGATTACAGAGATTCCTCATTTCCCCAGCCCCCGGCCACTGGCCACCACCATCCTAACTCTCCGATTCTCTGAGTTTGATTATTTTATTTATTTATTTAAAATTGAAGGCAGGCTTTTTTTTTGGCCACAACACATAGCACATGAGATCTTACTTAGTTCTTCCACCAGGGATTGAATCTTCACCCCCTGCATTGGAAGCATGAGTCTTAACCACTGGACCACCAGGGAAGTCTTGAATTTGACTGTTTTAGATTCTCATGTAAGTGGATCAAGCAGCACTTGTCTTTCTGTGTCCAGCTTATTGAACTCAGTATTAACATCCTCTGGGTTTCCCTGGAGGCTCAGATGATAAATAATCCACCTACAATGCAGAAGACCCGAGTTCGATCCCTAGGTCACAAAGATCCCCTGGAGAAGTGAATGGCTACCCACTCCAGTATTCTTGCCTGGAGAACTCCATGGACAGAGGAGCCTGGTGGGCTACAGCCCATGGGGACATGACTGAGCGCCTTTCACTTTCATCCCTCTTTCATACCAGCATCCTTGAGGTTCATCGATGTTGTCACATATGACAGGATTTCCTTCTTTTTCTAGACTGAATAATATTCCATGTATGAATACACTATATTTGCTCTATCCATTTATCCCTCCATCCTTCTATACATTGGTGAAGTATCACTTACTTTAACTCTTCACCTGCTTGCCAAGAGGCTAATCCGTCTTGGTTCTTCTCTCCTTCCCCTGGAGAATCAAGATCCAGACATCCAAACCCAGGTTCCCTTCCCTGTAAAAACCAACCATGGGAGGTTTCCAGGCAAATATATATGAGATAATCATCATACCTTTAGCACCCATATCCCCCTAAACTCTGGCCCTTCATGCATTTTGTGTCCCTAATCCTCTCGAGCACCCAGTGAAGCCACAACATGAGTCCTAATGAAGGGGAGGAAGCTAAGGCATGGGG